TTACCCTTCGTTTCCTTACTCTTAAGAAAATGCATATGCTGCTGAGGATAGTGACAAAAGCAACCAAAATCACAACGATGATGACGACTTGCATTAGGAATACGTGCCCAACACAGTGGGTAGCTGCCTCATCCTTTTGGTTGAGTTGTGTAGTTATGGTTTATCTTGGGCTCTCTTTATTTATTAGACTACTTCCTTCCAGAATATTGAGGGGCATTTACAAATTACAACGGCCTTTCAAAACTTTTATTCCTAGACAATAACCTCATGGTCTATTCTAATTTATCAAGTGTTATAGATGAGGTTTTGGATTTGTATTATTAAATTCGCGCTGTATTCTTTCATCACACTTGTATTCTGTCCTGTTTACTTAGGAATCGTTTGTGGAGTGCCCTTCAGTGGAAGATCAAGTCCAAGAGAGAGAAAAAGAAAGAGCCCAGCATCAATGAAGGCTGTAGTGATAACCACTCCAGGTGGACCAGAGGTCCTCCTACTACAAGAAGTTGAAGACCCAGAACTCAAAGACAATGAGGTCCTAATAAAAGTTGAGGCCACGACTCTGAATCGAGCCGATATTCTTCAGAGGAAGGGCCCCCAGGTTCCAGCCATACCTGGGACTCGACTGTTCTGGAACCATTGAAGCCATTGGGAAACAAGTCTCCCGCTGGCAAGTCGGTGACAAGGTGTGTGACCTTCTTAGTGGAGGAGGGTATGCTGAGAAGGTGGCTGTTCCAGCTGGACAATTGTACTTCCTGCTCCACTTGGTGTTTCTTTGCAGGATGGTGCTAGTTTTCCTAAGGTTTCATGCACTGTTTGGTCGACGGTGTTTATGATGAGGAGGCTATCTGCTGGCTAAACATTTTCGGTTCATTGGATAACATTAAGTTTTGATGGGAGGCTTTTTGTGAGTGGGACGGCCGTTACAGAAATGGATCTTCGTGTTGTGCTTTCGAAGCGTCTTACCATCCAAGCGGCCGGCTTGCGATACAGAAGTCCAGAAAACAAAGTAGCGATTGTTAGGGAGGTGGAGAACAATGTGTGGCCTGCAATTGTGTCTGGCAAGGTGAAACCTGTGGTCTACAAGTATTTTCCATTATCTGAAGCAGCAGAGGCTCACCGGCTCATGGAAAGTAGCAAGCACATTGGAAAGATTCTGCTTCTTCCTTTTTGATATGAATGTTAATTATTTTAACTCATTCACATGTGCATATGTTATGTTGTTGTACTCTATAATTCGGTTTTTAAGTTTGTGCATTGACTTCATGTCCTTACTTTCATGTTACTCAAAAGATTCACAAAAGACCAACCTGTCTTCTTTTAAAATCAATGCCGGTTACTGGATTGTTCGATTTAGCCCATAGTTGGTCCTAAGTTATAACTGAAAGTAATTTGACTACTTTCACTATCATTCTCATCCTCACTACTGTCACTTGCTTTGGTTCTGAATAATCCCCATTCCTTACAGATGCAGGTGCTTCACCAGTCTCCTTGACTTCAGGAACTTCCTGAGAACCATCTGTTTCAGAGAAAGCATTTTCACTTTTTTGCTTCAGCTGCAAGTACCCAGTTTCAGATTCACGAGAACAAAGACGAAGTCAAATCGTCAAGAAGCAACAGATCTGACGTTAGGGCCAGTGTATTATGCTTAGGACTAATGGGGAGAGGCATTGGAAGACATCACAAGCATTGATTTTCACTCAGATCAATGGCCAAAAAAGAGCTTGCACTTTGTTGGTATATCCTCTTTTCACAAGCATTGATTTTCATATTGATTTTCACTTTGTTAGTGATAATAAATTTTTCTTAACGATTTAATTTTGGGTGTATATACTCTTTTCATAAAAACATGCGCTAGGCGGGTTATCTTTTTTTTTTTTTTCTTTCTTATAAATAGTATCACCGCGCGGCTATACTCTGGATTTTTTATATTATAAAAAAAGTATAGCCGGGCAGCGTTACTGAGGTCTTTTTTTTAATTCTTTTTTACACGGCTATACTCTTTACATAGATACTGTGATCTTTAAAAAAAAAAAAAAATTGTTTTTCCCTGATTTTGGTTTATCAATAAGAGTAGTTTAGAGCATTATCCATTACTATTAGGTCATTACCCGAGTCTCTATTGTCTCATTTTGAGTTTTTACTTTTCCAGAGTTATTACTCATATAAAGAATTTTGCATTTTCATGTTTAATACTCGTATTGTACAAGTACGTACATATTTTTCATGTTTAATACACTTGTGTTTTACAAAATTTTCAATAACACACACAAAATTCACGTATTATACACAAAATACTCACATATTATTGAATAAAATTAAAAAATAATAAAAATATTCAAATACTAATTATTCACTAAGTAAATAATAATTAAAACATAACTACTAATGAAAGTAATTAAAAAGAGAAATTCAGATTATGCTATTCAATGGGTATAGCCGTGAGGCTATAGTTAACAAGAATATATTTATAGCGTATACTCGTGCGTCAATACTGTTGAAATATTCTATTTATATAACCGTGCGGCTATACGCTTTTCATAAAAAACAGGATTTAGGCGCTAGGCGGGTCTTTTATTTTATTTTATAAATAGTCTAGCCGCGCGGCTATACTTCGGATTTTTTTTATATAAAAAGAGTATAGCCGCACGGCCTTACTGGGGTTCTCTTTTTTTTTGGATTCTTTTTATAAATAGTATAGCCGTGCGGCTATACGCTTTACATAGATACTGTGATCCTTTTTAAAAAAATTGTTTTTTCCTGATTTTGGTTTATTGATAAGAGTAGTTTAGAGCATTTACCCATTACTATTAGGCCATTACCCGAGTCTCTGTTGTCCCCTTTTGAGTTTTTACTTTTCCAGAGTTATTACCCTATAAAGAATTTAGCATTTTCACATTTAATACTCCTATTGTACACGTACATACATATTTTTCATGTTTAATACACTTGATTTTTACAAAATTCACATATTATACACAAAATACTCACATATTATTAAATAAAAATAAAATTGTTAAAAAATTTAAATACTGATTATTCACTAAGTAAATAATAATTAAAACATAACAACTAATTAAAGTAATTAAAAAATCGAAATTTAGATGAAGCTATTCAATGGGTATAGCCAGTCGGCTATACATGAAAAAAAAAATCTATTTATAGGGTACAGCCGCGCGGCTATACGTTCGAAATATTCTATTTATATAGTAAGGCCGCGCGTCCATACAGTTTTATAAATCGTATAGCCGGTCGGCTATACCCCGGAAATTTTTTTTTTATACAAAATGAGTATAACCGCTCGGCTTTAATGGGCTCCGTTTTTTTAATTCTTTTTTATAAATAGTATAGCCGCCCGGCTATACGTTTGAAATATTCTATGTAACAGTCTTTAGGCGCTAGACTCCGGATTTTTTATATATATAAAAAGAGTATAGACGATTGGCTTTACTGGGGTCCTTTTTTTTATTAATTCTTTTTTATAAATAGTATAGCCGCGCGGCAATACCCTTTACATAGATAGCATGATCCTTTTTTTATAATTGTTTTTCCCCAATTTTTGTTTATCGACAAGAGTAGTTTAGAGTATTATCCATTACTATTAGCTCATTACCCAAGTCTCTATTAAAAAAAATTCTATATATAGAGTAATTAATTTGACTACTTTCACTATCATTCTCATGTTGCGTTGTCCCTGAGAACCATTTGTTTCAGAGAAAGCATTTTCACATTTTGCTTCAGCTGCAAGTACCCAGTTTCAGATTCACGAGAACAAAGACGAAGTCAAATCATCAAGAACAGATCTGACGTTAGGGCTAGTGTATTATGCTTAGGACTAATGGGGAGAGGCATTGGAAAACATCACAAGCATTGATTTTCACTGGATCAATAGCCTAAAAAGAGCTTGCACTTTGTTGGTATATCAGCCTTCCAATTATGTTATATAACTCACAAGTAGGGTCAACTATATATGTTGTCTAACAGAGTAGAAAAATGAAAGCATTGGAGAGATATAAGTTACAATTCCAGATATCTATCGAATTGAATTTTAATAGCATCCCTACCACAACTTAGACAACCAAAAGAACGAACAATAACCCTCATTCAAGTTCCTTACAGTTACAAATGATGTGTCTACAGAATAAAACACACCACCATTCAATCAAAAGGCCTCTCAACAATCCTAAGAAAGTTCATGGAAATAGTGAAAAGAATAAATGGCAATTGGTAATGAACCCAAGCGACTCAATTTTCACGTTATAATGTTTTTGTTAATAATCCAGAAAAAATTTCAAAGACGATCCTCTATTGAAACCACGATTAAGAACATCAAACAACTTATTTAGTACACACGAGGTCAACGTTCGATATGGAAGAGACAATATCAATATTCTTCCTGGATTGCACATGAAATCTAGTCATTTAACTAGTCCAGTCTAATATTCCATATCAAACGTTACCTAGAAGGATAATTATCTTGAAGAAAAGCATTGATATGTGATAATGTGTTATAGATTAGCCAATGAATGTGTCAGAAAGTTAGCTTCACGATACATATGAACCAATTATAGATGTCGGCATTGAGAATGTAAAAACTGAATGTCCAGAACAAGTGATCCAATTCAGCATGCTATGGAAGCATGTTCAGTGAGAATATTAACAAGGACGGTTTTCAACCAATCATGAATGTTTACTTAACTTACCTAAAATAGGTATTGGAATTATCTTCATTCATCACTTCTCCTGTGATTACTAACAAATGGGTGTTGGAAACATTCAGTTTCATGATTTTTTTTATACGTTTACAACCGCATATGGAATCAACAAGTATGTGAGTTCTACATTGGGGAAGAGCTATTAGTGTGCTTCTCCAAAGCCCAGCTGCCTATCAAAAACCCTACTAGCCCATCAATCAATTTCAGGCCTGCTTGCCTAGACTTCCCAACCAGCAGCCCAGCCCATTACGCAGGCTTAGCTTAGCTACCTCCCTTGTTGGGTTCTTCACCTGTGTTGTTGCCTTCTCCTTCAGTTGAATCAGTTGTCTTTTCTTTCAGTGACAGCCTCACATTCCCAATTATTTTCCCAGTTTGCCAGTTTCAACTCAATCTTTCAGCCTTGAATTGCTCCCAAAGGGCCAAAAGGTATTTCTTCTTTGACATCATAGTTTTCCTTTTCTATTTTTTCCCTTCATGTTTATGGTCTCATTTCTTAGTTATAATCTCAAAGTCAAAGTGAGAATAAATTTTTCTTACCTATCTAATTTTGGGTGTATATGTTATATATACAGACATATATCAGTATCAGTATAAAGGATTAGATTTATATACAATTTTCAGTGAAGTTTGAAGAAAAATTGGTCGAACTATAAAAAAATTTAAGGTTCCTGGTGAAAAAGCAAAAATAATTTTTTAAACAGTGGGCAGCTGCAGCTGGTTACTCCCTTTTCTCATAATAAGTCCTCATTTCTAGTCAGTGTTACTTGATCTTAGTTGCTTAGTTCGAAGCCAACATATCCCTTCTCCCAAGCTTTTGTTTCTTTTTGAAGTCATAGATTATAAAGGGTTTGGTAATCAGGAACTCAGCAGTTTGAGCTGAAATTTAAATTTACAAGTCTAATATAGACTATATAGCACATAAAGAAGAGTGGGAAATAAAGTTTAGTTTAGGAAATGGTGGTTTGGAGGAAGATTGGTTTGTGTGAGACTGAGAGAGTATCAATGGTTTCTTAAAAGTCCATTCAGAATTATTTATGTAAAGAGTTCTTAGTAAATATGCAGTTGATGCCTCTCATGGATGATAAAGCGAGGAGGTTGCTTTGCTGATGCAACAGGGAGGAATTTGGGAGGATTGTTTGAAGTGGATAGGATTATTTAGTCCTACAAATTTAGAGAACTCTATTGGATAATACAATTGCAAAGGTCTTCTTTCATTATTTAATGTTTCTAGTTATAAGCCTGTAATCTTTTTGAGTACATCCCCACACGTCAATCCTCACTGAAACCACCAAATCAAACCCAAGCTGCCCCATTATTTTGGTTGAGTTCTGTAATTATGGTTTTTCAGTGGGTTTTAGTGTTGTTTGGGCTATCTCTATTCATTAGACTACTTCCTTTCAGAATGTTGAGGTGCATTTTCTCTCTATTTTTCTTCTCTTTCCGAATTATAGAAATAACTGGTCCATATTGCATCTATTACAAATTACAATGGCCTTCCAAAACTTTTATATTCCTAGACAATAAACTCATGGTATTTTCTAATTTATCAAGAGGTATAGATGAGGTATTGGATTTGTATTATTGAATCCATGATGTATTCTTTCATCACGCTTGTATTTCTTCCTGTTTACTTAGGAATCATTTGTGGAGTCCCCTTCAGTAGAAGATCAAGTCCAAGAGAGAGAGAGAGAAAGGGTCCAACATCAATGAAGGCTGTAGTGATAACCACTCCAGGTGGACCAGAGGTCCTCCAACTACAAGAAGTTGAAGATCCAGAACTCAAAGGCGATGAGGTCCTGATAAAAGTTGAGGCCACAGCGCTGAACCAAGCTGAAATTCTTCAGAGGAAGGGCATATACCCACCACCCCCAGGTTCCAGCCCATACCTGGGTCTCGAATGTTCTGGAACCATCGAGGCCGTTGGGAAGCAAGTGTCACACTGGCAAGTCGGTGACAAGGTGTGTGCTCTTCTTAGCGGAGGAGGGTATGCTGAGAAGGTGGCTGTTCCAGCTGGACAAGTCCTTCTTGCTCCACCTGGTGTTTCTTTGCAGGATGCTGCTAGTTTTCCTGAGGTTTCATGCACTGTTTGGTCAACGGTGTTTATGATGAGTAGGCTATCTGCTGGCGAAACATTTTTGGTTCATGGGGGCTCCAGTGGAATTGGTACATTTGCAATTCAGATAGCTAAATACTTGGGAGCAAAGGTGTTCGTCACAGCAGGAAGTAAGGAAAAGTTAGCTTTTTGCAAGAATCTTGGAGCTGATGTATGCATCAATTACAAGACAGAGGATTTTGTTGCTCGGGTAAAGGAAGAAACGGGTGGCAAGGGTGTTGATGTTATCTTGGATATCATAGGGGCAGAGTACTTTCGGTGGAACCTTGACAGCTTAAGTTTTGATGGGAGGCTTTTTGTTATTGGGACGATGGGTGGTGCTGTTACAGAAATAGATCTTCGTGTTGTGCTTTCGAAGCGCCTTACCATCCAAGCCGCCGGCTTGCGATTCAGAAGTCCAGAAAACAAAGCAGCGATTGTTAGGGAGGTGGAAAACAATGTGTGGCCTGCAATTGTGGCTGGCAAGGTGAAACCTGTGGTCTACAAATATTTTCCATTATCTGAAGCAGCAGAGGCTCACCGGCTCATGGAAAGTAGCAAGTACATTGGAAAGATTCTGCTTCTTCCCTGATGATATGAATGTTAAGTATTTTGAACTCAAATAAACAACATGGTTCAGAGTCTTCAGACTTTGTGAGCAGCTGGGGTCTATCGTCTAGGATAATGTTTGATTTGCATAGCTTAAGTTGTTTAATATTCTTGTATTATGAGAATTAAATCAAGGTATAGGTGTTTTGGGTAAGTGTTTGATAAATATTTGTGATCGAGATGCTTTGTGTTTGTGATGTGTGGGTTCGTGGAAGCATTGCTATGAGATATTGTGCTCTAGATTAGCCGATGAATGTGACACAAAGTTAACTTCACGATACACATGAACCAATTATAGATGTCGGCATTGAGAAAGTGAAAATGGAATATCTGTAACAAGTGATGCAATTCGCCATGCTAGGAAGCATGTTTAGTGAGAATATTATGGTGATTGGATTCGTTTTTAACCAATCCTGAAATGGGTATTGAAGTTATCTTTATTCATGACTTTAATTACACACGGATGTTTGAACTATTTCGATTCTTTATTTCTCATGCGTTTATAAATTCAAAAATTTATATAGGTTCCGAAATTACAATAAGTAGATATTTCGTAAAAAAGAAGTACTAATAATATAGAGTACCCATAATAATAATATAACTACAAAATTTGTGTGGGGGAAGCTATTGGTGGGCTTCTCCAAAGCCCAACTGCCCATCAAAAAAGCCACTAGCCCATCAATTCAAACTCAGGCTATGCTTGGCAGCCCATTACCCAGGCTTAGCTTACCCTTGAACCTCCGTTGTTGGGATCTTCACCTGTCGTTGCCTTCTTCAGCGGAATCAGTTGTTTGTTCTTTCACAGTGAAAGTCTCACACATTCCTACCCACCTACCTTCCCAGCTTGGCAGTTTCAGCTCAATCTTTCATCCTTGCGTTGCCTCCAAAGCGCCAAAAAGGTATTTCTTCTTTGGCATCATAGTTTTCCATTTCTTAGTCTTCGTTTATACTTTCGAAGTTAGAATAAGCCTTTTCTTTTTATTGCCTTTATATATATATATAGAGGTATTGCCTTTATATATATATATATAGAGGAATATCAGTTTCAGTATATCGATTATATTTATATTCAATTTTCAATGAAGTATCAAGATTTCAGCAAGCAAAATTGGTCGAACTACTAAAAAATTTAAGGTGTCCAAACAGTGGGCAGCTGCCTACTCCCTTGTCTCATAAGAGCAGTTCCAGCAATTGCCTCTTGCCATGACAGGGGGGCGAATAGTGGCTGCCACAATATTTTCGGATAAGATTTTTGGGTTCCTAGTGTCAATACTATTCATATCTCATAATTGGATAAAATTTTCGGATAAGATTTTCGGTTTCAAATTTTAGATAAATTTCAAAATTCAATGAAATGTCATTTGAATTTCAAATTTTATATAAGATTTTCACCCTCTAAAATTGTGCTACGTGTCATCTTTATCGACCACAATTTTTCTATAAAACCAAAGCCTCAACTCATACCTCTCACACCATGTCTTCTCTTTATTTACATTTCTCAGATTTTAGAATTCATACTCCAATGGCAGACATGAACGAGGTCTTGGAGAGGCAAATGCGAGAATTTAGAGAAAGAAGGCGTAGACGAGCTGTAGGCAAAAGGGCGCAGGCAGAACTAGATATGCAAATTGCCATAGCAGTGGCTATGCTTGATGAAGAAAACCAGAGCCGCCGTGGTTCACGAGAAGGTCGTGGCCCGAATGTGGACAGACATAGACATTCTCGGGGTAAGAATCTTATGGAAGATTATTTTATCCCAACTTCTCTTTACTCTGATGTTAATTTTCGAATGAGATATATAATGTAACCCCATTTGTTCAATAAAGTCATGCATGATATTTGCAATTATGTTGAAAATTTTGTTCAAAAGAGAAATGCTGCTGGAAATTTGGGACTGCTTCCCGAGCAAAAGTTCACAGCTGTTATACGAATGTTGGTGTATAGTTCATCTGCTGATCAAGCGGATGAGATTGCCCGGATGGGGAAGTCCACTGCTTTGGAGAGCTTGGTGAGATTTTGTGATGCAGTCGAAACTCTGTACACTAGGGACTACCTGCGCAGACCTACGCCCAGGGACCTCTAACGGTTTCTACAAAAAGCTGAAGCTCGAGGATTTCCAGGAATGATTGGTAGCATCGACTGCATGCACTGGCAGTGGAAGAATTGCCCGACTGCATGGCAAGGAGATTATGGGAATCAGAAAGGCCAAAAAAAATCATCCTTGAAGCCGTTGCAGGTTTTGATACGTGGGTTTGACATGCTTTCTTCGGAGTTGCCGGATCTCAAAATGACTTGAATGTCCTGGGTCAATCCCCGGTGTTCAATGATGTTTTAAGAGGTGAAGCCCCAAATATCACCTATCAAATCAACAATATCGTCTACCAAAATGGGTATTATCTAGCTGACGGCATCTACCCGAGGTGGACCACATTTGTCAAGTCAATTCCGCATCCCCGATCCCATAAGCAAAAATTATTTGCTACCTATCAAGAGGGTACAGAAAAGATGTGGAGAGGTGCTTTGGTATCCTCCAAGCCCGGTGGGCTATTATTAGGGGTGCAGCACGTCTGTTTGATGAGGAGGTGCTGAGTAGGGCTCGTCAATGCCCGACCCAAATTTAATGGGCTTGGGCAGGGCCAGGTCGGGTTTTAAAGAGGAGAGAGAAAATACCAAGCTGGGCCGGGCTGAGTTTTTTTAGAAAATTCAAAGCCCAAGCCCGACTCATGGGCCGGGCTTGGTGGGTATGCTCGATCTATCAAGCCAAGACAGCCACTGTGGTTCACAATTCAGTTGTGGCCCAAATGTGGACAGACGTAGGCATTCTCGGGGTAAGAATCTTTTCGAATTTATTTTCAATTTTTTTACAGTAAAATTGGCAGTCGTTGGATTGGAGGAGAAATTAGGATCGGACACACCAGGATGTGCCACATGGCTTGTAGCAGCTGGCGGAAAGTAGGGCTAACGCCAGGCTTGCGCTGCCTGGCGTCAGCGCACAGAATTTTGAATTTTTTTTTATCGTTGGCGCATGTACGTTTTGATGGAGCCCACTCTTGCCTGAGCTATATTTGCTTGGTGTGGGTGTTATTTTCAGCCCAGGCCCCTTTAGCCATGGTAAGGCAAATGGGTGGAAATGCTCTAATGATCAGTAATTATCAGAGGACCTTTTAGTAATTATGGATATATTTTTTTTTTCAAGAACTTGGAACTAGCTTTTTCAATGGTTTGGCTTGCAGTTCTTAGTATGTCTTGCAGTTTGTGCAGCCAGGAGGTTGCTGATGCAACATGGAGGAATATGGGAGGATTGTTTGAAGTGGGTAGGATTATTTAGTCCTATAAATTTAGAGAACTGTATTGGATAATGCAAGTGCAATGGTCTTCTTTTATTATTTTATGTTTTCAGCTAAAAGCCTGTAATCTTTTTGAGTACATACCCAGACCTCAATCCTCACTGAAACCACCACCAAATCAATCCCAAGCTGCCTCATTCTTTTGGTTGAGTTATGTAGTTATGGTTTGTCTTGGGCTCTCTTTATTTATTAGACTACTTCCTCTTTCAGAATATTGAGGGGCATTTACAAATTACAATGGCCTTTCAAAACTTTTATATTCCTAGACAAAAAAACTCATGGTCTATTCTAATTTATCAAGAGTTATAGATGAGGCTTTGGATTTGTATTATTAAATTCGCACTGTATTCTTTCATCACGCTTGTATTCTGTCCTGTTTACTTAGGAATCGTTTGTGGAGTGCCCTCCAATGGAAGATCAAGTCCAACAGAGAGAAAAAGAAAGAGTCCAGCATCAATGAAGGCTGTAGTGATAACCACTCCAGGTGGACCAGAGGTCCTCCAACTACAAGAAGTTGAAGACCCAGAACTCAAAGACAATGAGGTCCTAATAAAAGTTGAGGCCACGGCTCTGAATCGAGCCGATATTCTTCAAAGGAAGGGCATGTACCAGCCACTCCCAGGTTCCAGCCCATACCTGGGTCTCGAATGTTCTGGAACCATTGAGGCCGTTGGGAAGCAAGTCTCCCGCTGGCAAGTCGGTGACAAGGTGTGTGCTCTTCTTAGCGGAGGAGGGTATGCTGAGAAGGTGGCTGTTCCAGCTGGACAAGTCCTTCTTGCTCCACCTGGTGTTTCTTTGCAGGATGCTGCTAGTTTTCCTGAGGTTTCATGCACTGTTTGGTCGACTGTGTTTATGATGAATAGGCTATCTGCTGGGGAAACATTTTTGGTTCATGGAGGCTCCAGTGGAATTGGTACATTTGCAATTCAGATAGCTAAATACTTGGGAGCAAAGGTCTTTGTCACAGCAGGAAGTAAGGAAAAGTTAGCTTTTTGCAAGAATCTTGGAGCTGATGTATGCATCAATTACAAGACGGAGGATTTTGTTGCTCGGGTAAAGGAAGAAACGGGTGGCAAGGGTGTTGATGTTATCTTGGATATCATAGGGGCAGAGTACGGAACCTGAACCTTGACAGCTTAAGTTTTGATGGGAGGCTTTTTCTTATTGGGGGGACGATGGGTGGTGCTGTTACAGAAATAGATCGTGATGTTGTGCTTTCGAAGCGCCTTACCATCCAAGCTGCCGACTTGCGATACAGAAGTCCAGAAAACAAAGCAGCGATTGTTAGGGAGGTGGAAAACAATGTGTGGCCTGCAATTGTGGCTGGCAAGGTGAAACCTGTGGTCTACAAGTATTTTCCATTATCTGAAGCAGCAGAGGCTCACCGGCTCATGGAAAGTAGCAAGAACATTGGAAAGATTCTGCTTCTTCCCTGACGATATGAATGTTAAGTATTTTGAACTCAAATAAACAACATGGTTCAGAGTCTTCAGACATTGTGAGCAGCTGGGGTCTATCGTCTAGGATAATGTTTAATTTGCATAGCTTAAGTTGTTTAATACTCTTGTATTATGAGAATTAAATCAAGGTTAACGGATAAATTTGTGAATTCACTTCGTGTCCTTCTTCATATTCATGCAAAATTGGTTCATCTTAGTCAAAAGAAGACAAAAGAATCAGTTTTATTTTCAAAACTTCATCATGGAATTAAATGGATCTAAGTTGGGTATTTTTAGGTTCGAAAGGTTTTAATGCGTTTGATTAAACTTTTAACATAATCTTGTGGTTAAGATTAATTTGGTCATGGCTGAAAAGAGCCTTACTAGAAAAATTAATCTACACATTTGTCATGACTCATGATCAAAGGTTTAAATTATTTGCATAAACACAAGAATAATAAAAATTAGTTACCCAAATAGCCTGCACAGAAAAGCTTTGAGCAGTACCATCCATGTTAGGTTTGTTATGCCTAAAACGAAATGATTAAGAGGCTGAAAGATACATTTTCAAACATAACGGATGGCACTACCATTGCAGCAGCACCAAACAACATTCTGTACGCCACAAGGATGGTCAGGTTCATCCCATCCTGGATGCTAGTTTATACAAAATATTCAGAAGCGTGTACAATATTTGAACAGCTATCATGACGGCTATGGACTTCATCTTCTGAGAAGAAATCATCTTGGAAGATATATGGACTTGGGAGAGGTAAGTAAGGGCTTTACATAGTTTGTTTCAACCTTCAACCAGGTTTTAATGATCATGTGTTACATCCCTTTTGTAATTGAAAACCTGATATTTGGATAATTTTCTAGGAGTGGGTTGCAAAGGTTTTTTTTATAAGAATTTTACAATTATAATGTTTTTTTTTCTTTCGAAAACCAATATAATAATATCAGTCCTGTTCTCTTGGACCCCTATGGTTCAAGGACTTGTGGTCACACACCCTTAGATTAGATCTAAGGGTTCACAAAAATCTATTTAAAAATACATTTTATTTTACTTTTACTGCATAAGATATTAATTTAACTTAACCAAAAACTAAAAGTTAAAAAAGAAATAATAACACTTCACTCAAACAACATGTTCAGGGCAGAAAAAATTAGGAACGGGTTCTTCCTTCCATCGCCCCACAGCAACTCCGACACCATCGCAGCCACAGTAACCCCGACTCTGGCGTCCCATACGAAAATCCAAATCTACCCATCCCCTCGCAATTTAATTGCAGGATGCCCATCCAAGACCGCTTCCTGCTCATATGTTAATCGCTTCTTGATGGTATAAGATTCATGGAAATCATGTTAACCAGTAAAAGAGGAGGAAACCCAATTGTAGAAATCGAAAAAGTGAAAGAGCCAAATTAGAAAAACTGTTTAGGTCTGCAAAAAAAAATAAAAAAATCAGATTATGCCTTTGCATTCAACTGACTATAGGTGGCTCGAGTAACATCATGTCTGCATAGGGTCGTCTACGACGCCGGAATCGGAGGTGTTGTGGCCGTGATGGGAGGAAGAACATGTTCATGATTTTCTCCTCTTAACGTGTTTTTGTTACAGTGAACTTTTTTTATTTATTTTTTAAATTTCGGTTTTTGATTAAGTTAAATTAATATCTTGTTTTTTAACTAGTTTTTTCTAGACCCTTAGATTAAATCAAGAGTGGGTGACCACAAGTTCATATCATTCTCGGGAACTCTTATGGGAGCTTTATATTCACTGCGCAGCTCTAGTCTAGTAGTTATATCTGGTCATTTCGTCCAGTCACCGTTAGATTAATCCAACGGATGAAAAGAAATCCAAGTTCTAAATTGCATATCAACTTGAAAATTTAACCCAAAGTGTATTCTTGCTACTATTCTCAACACTTCATGTGTCTAAATACATAACTATGGTTCCATAAATACAAAGTAAGAAGTTAACTATGATTATGTCTATGAACATGTGTCAAGTATTACAGGTGGTGAAAATATACACCTTAGGTTAAAGTGGTCAACAAAAGCATTTCCAAGTAAGAAATTGGAGAACTTAGTACATATGAAAAATTAGGAATTGAATTCGAATCAACTACTAATTTTAAAGTAAGACCCATATATTTTTTGGTTCATTATGTCTAGTAATCGCAGAGAAGTCAGATATTGAAATAGCTTCTTTTCTTCTCATACCCATTCCAATAAATAAACATGCCATTAATTATAACTTCTAATCTAATATGTTTAGAGATGATTTTATTTTCATAAAAATATAAGCGACAAGTTTCAATGTATAATCCCAATAAATTGCAAACCACAAACAATTTCCCATTCCTTTATATTGGTCACAAGTATATAAAATACAAATGTATTACATATACAACCCCCCTTTTAACAAACTAAAAAATAAAATCAAAAAAATAGTTGGGGAAACCCCAAAATGAAATACATATGGAGCAAATAAAAGAATTTGACCTGCGCGCTGTCCATAAGACTATCATCTGTGATCACTACAAGAGCCAGCAGCAGTTAAGAAAGGAAAAATAAGATAAAAATCACTCTTTAGGCAGCATCTCAATCAATACTGATACTAACCACAACGCTATGTTCATCAAGAGCAAAGTGCGAGACAGAAATCCAGGCGCCACCATCACGAACCAGAAAACCCACAATTACCCCCACAGAGAAGAATTGATCAAAATGAATGAATTGCAAGTTAGGAGGCAAATAAACACAGAAAAAGCACTCATTCTAACGAATTTCGGCCTCTAGAACAAATCAGCTTTCTTCTTCTGCATGTCTTGCTTCCATTTCGGCAGTTGATAGAATGCATCTTTTGCCATCCCAAATATGGTCTGAAACTCCTCCTCTGATAGATAAGCCTGAAAAACCAAACAGAAGAAATGTCACTATGATTTCAGAACATATACTGAAGAAATGAAAAGATTCAAAAAAGACCAACCTCTCTTCTCTTAAAATCAATGCCGGTTACTGGATTTTCCGATTTAGCCCTTAGTTGGTCATAACTGAAAGTACTTTGACTTTCACAATCAATCTCATCCTGCACTGTCTTTGGTTCTGAATCATCCCCATTGCTTTCAGATGCAGGTGCTTCACCAGTCTCCTTGACTTCAGGAACTTCCTGAGAACCATCTGTTTCAGAGAAAGCATTTTCACTTTTTGCTTCAGCTGCAAGTACCCAAATGTAACAAAAGTTATACAGTTTCAGATTCACGAGAACAAAGACGAAGTCAAAATTGTCAAGAAGCAACAGGTCTATTATGCTTAGGACTAATTCCTAGTTTAAAAAAAAATTTACTGACGAGAGAGGGGAGGGGAGGGGGGGTGAGCAGCATTGGAAAACATCACAAGCATTGATTTTCACTTAGATCAGTCGCCAGAAAAAGAGCTTGCACTTTGTTGGTATACAGCCTTTTAAATTATCTTATATAACTCAGAAAAAGAGCTTGCACTTTGTTGGTATACAGCCTTTTAAATTATCTTATATAACTCAAAAGTAGGGTCAACTATGTTGTCTAACAGAGAAGAAAATGATTTACAGGTCACCATTGTACGAAGTAGAAAGCATTGGAGAGATATAAGTCACAATTCCAGATATCTATCAAAATTGAATTTTAAAATAGCATCCCTAGAACTAACTTAGACAACCAAAAAAAGAACAATAACCCTCGTTCAAGTTCCATACAAATGATGTAAATACAGAATAAAACACACTGCCATTCAATCAAAAGGTAAAAAAAAAAAGAGAAAGAGTATGCTTAAGAGAGATGTATAACAACAATGAAACTCACCATGCAGGACTAGTGACTTTTATTGGGGTCAGGATAAAAGAAATTACAGAAAGAACCATTCTCTAACACGCATAGAATTTCATATACGTAATCAGAAGTATTTCTTCTTTCCTTACCAGAAGCACTAGTTTCGGAGGGAGGACTTTGCACAGGAGAGGCATCGGGTGTTAGCTTAGTCTTTTCAGCTTTAAGAACATTTGAAAGTGCAGCAACTGCTGCAGCTCTTTGTGATCCTTGACCCGTTGCAGAAGGCTTGGGAAGAGATGGTTTGGTTCCAGAGGATGAACTAAATGCAGAAGATAAAGCCGCTAAAGCTTCTGCTCTTTGCCTTGGTCCTCCTTCACTCGATCCATTGGACTTATCCTGGCCCTGTGATTGCATGGAAGTTGAATTATTGATTATGAGGCCTTGGAACACATTCCAAACCATCATCATGTAACAGAAAATCTTATTGAGCATGGATCATAAAAGAATATAAAAACGAAGAGGTGCTGAGAAACAAAAACAATAAAGCATGACTAGTATTGATTCATGGAACGAACTACTGGCACAACCGATTTTAATTACCGTATGGGATGATTTTCCGGAGGATGGATTGAATGCAGATGATAAAGCAGCTAAGGCTTCAGCTCTTTGCCTTGGTCCTCCTTGATTCCCACTGGACTTGTCCTGGGTCAGCAACAGCGATCCTTTCTCCGTGAATTACAGAAGGAAAATATATGGTAATGCTAAAAAAATTAAGAAATTTGACAGATTTCTACCCTTAATGTAGTTAAATCATTTCAAACTGTTATAAATAAAACATGATTTCAGCAATCAACTTGTAATTTGAGAAGTTCCAATAGAGTGAGCATATGAGATGTGTCTACAAACTCACCACTTCAATTATCACTCCAGAACCCTCAACCCTACCCCTTCCAAATGGGCTGCTTGGGTCAAAAAAAAATGAGGAAGAAAATGAAAGGTTGAAGCCTTAGAGTACTCCACTTCCTTACCATATTGCAACTTTATAATACCCAGAGGTATTTAGCATAATTAACAGAGATTTATTGTTTTTTTCTTTTAGTTTAATAGATTGGAGATGTGTTGGTAGGAATATTGAATTATAAGGTGAACCCATAAAACTGTGTAGCCTATGTTTTTTATTTATTGAAGGACTATGAATGGGGTTGCGAGAATCTTTAGACATAATATGGTCATGGATCCCTTGTATATACTAGACAATTTATTACACAGCATTTTGCACAAACGTATCAGAGGAGATTACACCACAACACGTTTGATAATATAGATTGCTTACCTCCACAGCATGGCCAATCCCAAAGAGAATTGACACCTTCTTTTGGAATGAGTTTCCTTGAACCTACAGTTTAGCATACATGTTGTAAGGAAAATATATATAGAACACACCAGAAGTAATCAGTCCATAATAAATTACTTTGAACTAAAGCAGTTAATATCCACAACCTTTTTAAACACATTACCCCATTTTCCTTTACAGTTTACCAATCAAAGTAATTCTTACATCACAAACTAATTTGGACACTGCCTCTAACACATATATAACCAAAATTCTGGCATCTCAAATGCACTACCAAGAGTTACAGAATCTAATCGCACTTTAGATGATCCCTAACACAATTATTCGACTGAAGAATGAAGTAGATCACCAGTTACCACAATGAGAATTTAAGCAACACTACGTTACCCAGAAAAAAGAAAAAAGACAAAAAAAGAGCATTGATCGACTAGTATGTTATTACAAAATTACACTTCTACACTTTTTTTTTCTTTGAGCAGATAGACTTCTACATGTATACCTCCATATTTGTAAGTCATGATATTCTACTATAGATGCTTCAAAGTCACTATACTTTCACCATGAATTCTTTGAATCAACTTCCTGACGTTACCGTAATGATCCCTAAAACAATTATCTTCCCATCTAGGCAGTTTATCACTTCCCTCGTTGTTATGAGATTTGAACTTCTAATTATCATTTTCTGCATTCTGCACATGCTTCCAACATTTGATTTGGTTCTAGATCAAAAGACCAGTGTATCTCAACTAATCGGTTAAAATGAAGAGAAAAGGTAAAAATCCTTCCAAATTACAGAAAACATTGTTACATTGAACTTAATGTGTTTTGTTATTCCCTACTTCACACTAAAAATTCCTTAAAATTTATCTATATGTGTATACTGCACGCACTGCATAGATCTCAACCTTGCATGCACATGGTGAAATAAATTTTTTCTTAGTGCTATTCGAACAAAAAAAAACCACAATCCTACCACAAAAAAAGAAAAAAGATAAGAGGATTAATGATATAATATAACTTCAGGAGTGGGAACACATCTTGCAGGATACAGAGGGCCCATTGAGTCACTTACTGGCTATATACATATATATATATATATATATATATATATAGAGAGAGAGAGAGAGAGAGAGAGAGAGAGAGAGAGAGAGAGTGTTGTTTTAGGGCATACAGTGGCTTTTGCATAATCCCATGCAAAGTATATTGTGAAGAAGCGAGGTTCATTTCCTTCAGTAACTTTATATAATGGTACATTATGAGGCAGCCCCTCGAGAGATGCCGCCATCGCTATGTATTTCTGCACAAATCTTTTTATAATGAATGAATAATGTAACAAAAGGAAAGATGTGAAAAATGTTAATATTAAGGCATACCTTGCCAATTTCAAAAGCATTTTGCTTTTCTTTCAAGTCTACACATTGACCAACCCAAACAAACACTTCAGCATGCGTGTCAAGTATAAGGATGTCCTCTGTCAGCAGATCATCTTGAGTAAAGTTGTAAATTTCTTCCACCTGTTGAATTAAATACAGAAGAAAAAGATCAGAAGTCAGGAAAAACAAAAAGAAAAAAAAAAGAAGGAAATTTCAATTACTCTTAAAAAGGTCATATAACTCACCTGAAACTTTCCTGGGGAATCCACATGGAAACGGGAACAATCAAAATAAACACAGTTAGAACAGAACTAGCTTTACAAACAAATTATCCAACTTAGAGATCATTTTATGTCAAATGTAAATTCAACAAAGAGGAAAGCTTAAAGTAGCATTTTATTATTAGCAGAAGTTTCCACCTTTGTTGAATGAGAATGAGAATAGGTGGGGATCTCTGACAATCTCCTGAGAAACTTTATTACTGGTGTAACTTTGTTTCCCTCCTAGAGCAAACCAGAAGGCTGAGCTCTCAGTTCCCTCTTTAGCATGTTTTAAAGTGACTCCTGGCTGTATTAGCAAGGCACATAAGGCTCAAATAGAAAAACAGAGCATCTTTTGGCAAAAAAAAAAAACAGAGCATAGAAGGCAACACTGGAAATTCAAGGGCTGTGATATATTCAACGACTGTTGAGAAATTGCATTAAGCACACATACAAAATAATGTCAATCCAACGTATAACATCAGTCATGTACATTCCTAATCAATTTTACTTAGACGATTATCTTATTCTTTTACAAGTGGAAACAATGTCAGTCCTCAGTACAACATTGTTAATTAAAACCTGACTAAAATATATTTACTAAGCCTACTTGGATAACTCTTCTGAATGATGAATCTACAATAATTTCATAGGCAGATAATGTTACATAAGATCCAGAGAGAGTAGAATACTTTATAAGAGTATACCTTCAAAAATTCTGCAAGTTTTGCTAATAATTGTTGCTGCTCAATGGTGCATTGATTTCCATTCCAAGCGAAAATTGAGGAGCCAGATTGCAGAAGGAAGCACTCGGTAGAATTCAATGACGCTGCCACCTAAACAAAAACGACATCTATATTACATATATTGACAAGAAGCAAAGATTATTCAGAAAGAGCAAAAAGTACGAAGATGATGTCCAGCAGTGGAAGAAGTCCACCAACTAAACATAGCAAAGAAAACATTCTCTCAGAAGCATGCAGTTTCATCTTAACCTTCCTACTACATACAACTATCACAGGAAACACATGCCAAAAGAATTAAACTGCAGCCACCTAATCAGCATGTAGACATTTTTTTTTTCAAAAACAAAGAATTTTGGACCATTATTCCACTCCAGCTTCAAAATTATTCTCTCCCTCTTTCTCTCACTTGCCCAATTACAGCATATTAAATCCATTATGTAAATTCCTTTAGTGACTTCATCCTTAAACCTGAATTAATAAAAAGCTTAACATTTGAATGTTACAAACTTATAATTCATTGACAGTGCAAGATACAAAACCCAAACCTTCTATATAAAAAATAATATAATAATAATAATAATAAAATAAAATTATATATATACATATATATTAATTAAAAAAACCCAACCCATAATTTAAAATTAACTTGAAAATAGAAATTCATATTCACTTTGTTAAATTAAGTCCAATCCAACCAAGACTAGCTTCAAAAGGGAAACTGAAGAATAGAGAACAACATGCTTAAACGAAATCAAAAGAAAAAAGTGAAAACAATCCCATTGAATATTTCTCTCAAATAATGCAATCTGCACCTTAGAAAATTTTAAAGAAAGCATACTAGTAGTAATCAGATAAATTTTTCTACACTGGGAGTGCATGGGTAATTTGTAGCCATTTTTTCTGTTTTTCTGGCTTTTATAGTTTTAATATGCATGACATATGTGAAACCCGCTACATTTTGTTGCATTGAGTCCTCCCCACCTAACCACCAATGAAGTTAGCTAAGCAATGTTATAAAGTAAGTTGCTTATCACTATCTGAAGTCACTCCCCAAAAATTTGTGAAGAATTCCCTAGGTCATTGGAATGTGTATTGTCATGTAGGATAAGTGATTACAACATATAAATTCATTCATACCGCATCAACTTGCACTGTTTTATTGTTATGAACAGAAGTTCCAGATAACCGAAAGAGTGCAACACAATCCTCTGTATAAGTCTCATCCGTCAAACCTTTCTCCTCAACATGTTTTTTGTAACCAGAGCTCAAGCCACCCTGAAGTGGAAGTCAATCAAATTAAAAGGATAATACTAAACCATTTTGGTATGAATAAAGATTCCTAATATGAAAGAGAAGTTTTTGTACAAGACTAAACAGTATACCTTCAGGACCACCATAGGCTGAAAGAGTGCTATTAACTGTGGTGGCTCTTTTCCTTGAAATATGTGACCCTGCAAAAAGGCCCTGTTATATGCAAGTCCGAAAGACATATTTTCCAACATGACTACAGATAATATGATACCTGAACTGGTCTTCCCTTCAGTGAGTTGGACATCGTGTTAGCCAAATGAGAAGCAATTTTCTGGTCCTCCTGAAATGGGTTATATAACAAAAATTCTTTAGCAGTAATGCTAAGGTTTCTCAATGGAGCACAGAAAAAAATGTAGAACGCCACTTTCACAATAAAAGGAAAATTAAGATGAAAAAATGAAAAATAATTGGACTGGAAACAAGGCCATGACTAGTCCTATTTATGGTCAAAACTAGTGTTTGACCATGAATAGCTTGACAAAAGAGGAGAACAAACACAGAGCCTAGACCAAGAATCCCAACATTGCTGTACTAAATCTTTCACGATGGTGAAATCCCTTCCAGAATATACAAACCACACTTAAACAAGAATATCAACATTGCTTTACTAAATCTTTCAGGGCAGTGAATTACCTCAATACTATCCTTTCCAAACCAACAGCACAAAAAGTAATCTTCTTTTCTATCACCAGAGTGGTACGTGTAAAGAATGATGTAGCAATCTCCACTATAAAATTTACCAATATCCTCCTTAGGCAAAGGAGTTTTGGCACCACCATTGATAAACCATACCTGAAAAAACCGAACATCCAATATTCCAAAATATCAACAAAGAAACCTAATTAAATAAGTTATTACTAGAGGCATGAAAAATATACTAGACCTCGATCTTTCCACCTCCTTCAAGCAAAGGTGGGACCTCCTCAGTTACGGGAGCACTTTTTGCAATGCCCTTTAGACCAACGCCTTGTTGCTTCAGCAAAGCTAGCAGACCATAAATAAACAATAGTAAATAAAGCTAACCAGAAAGTATTATTATGTACTTTACAAATGAGTTCATAATTACCTGCTACTTTTCCTCTTCCCTCCTCAGTACCAGAAGTTGCTGATCCTGATGGCCAAGAATCGAAGTTGGACTTGAATGAATGTGTCTCATAACCTTGAATAACCCGGGTTATTCGTGTTGATTTTGGTCTGTTCTGACTAGCAAGAAATTCCTAGGAAAAAATTCAGAGTTATATTTACATGTATCACTGTAAATGCATATGCTCACCAGCATGAAGAAACAGATGCATGTCACTACCTCAGCTGTTTGGCTAACAGCTTTTCTGTCCTCCACTTGTGTCACCCGGCCAACCCAAACAAATACCTCAGAACCACAGTCCAGTAAGTAGCATTTGTTGTTTTCAAGCAAGGATTTGGACAGTTCACCTTCTACGGCCTTCACTTCACCACCAGTTATGCTTCAAAAACCAGTTATTACAAGTTAGAACTTTATGAGGATAATACCAATGTTTAACATATTCGCTGATATCTTCGTTTTTCAGCACACCGAAACTTCGTGGAAGGCGAAACCTTCCACATTTTCCCCAAAATTCGGTAACATAACAGTGAAATTTTTGTTTTTGACTGTCAGTGGAAACTGAGGTTTCTTTACCTTAAACTTCAGTTTCCTCAATATATACCGACATTTCCACTAGAACTTCCTTCAAGTGATAATTATATGCACTTACGTAATAATAATAATAATAATAATATAACTATATGAATTCTTGGTCCCAGTCAACATCTCAGGCTCTCTCTGAAAAGGAACCGACTAGAGTTTTGACTAGTGTTAACGACGACAAGTGGAAGGGGGAAAGAGGGTTAAAGAGAGATCCTTCTCTCTAGAATCCAGCACCATCTCCCCACCCAACCTTTTCCAGCCTCCATGCTGATGAATCTTGAGCCACAGCTTCTCATAGTGCACCATTCCATACAACAAACTCTCTTCCAACTGCTAACCCCCTTCCACCTCAATCCTTATCTCCTAAACACTTCCCCCTCCAGATGTTCCCTCTACTACCCATTATTCCCCTTCCCAAAAGAATCAATACGAGGCTCTTGCAGAAACAATTAGATATTATGTGAAGCATGAGGACTTATAGCAAGATTGAGTCCAGAAACAAGTGTGAGGGAAAATTAAGATAATCTCCCTGTTTTGAGTTTGTAGATCAGAATTACTTCCTATGCACACCTACCACATGCAAATGCAAACACATCCAACGGGCACACTTCACAGACATGTGCAAGCACACTCTGTGTGTGTGTGTGTGTGTGTGTGTGTGAGAGAGAGAGAGAGAGAGAGAGAGATAATTTACCATTTACTAAAGAATCGACACTTTAGACAAAGAAAGTAACGGAATATGAGAATACCTATAAAGTGTAGGAGGAGTGGCCTCTGGAACTACATCATCTTCAGTGGTTACCTTCTTTCCAATTGGAGCAAAACCACCCATTAGGACCCAGAACTCACCAGAGTCAGACTCTGTATCTAGCTTCCCATCATCTGGCATGGTGAACATAATTTCAACAAATGAAATAAGTAACTGGTGAGAATGGGCAGCACAGATTGTAAATATGTAAGGTAACAATTCTGGTTGGATAATGCAGGCTTTTCCAATACCAGAGAAAAGGCAACACAGTGAGAGTTGTGTGGGCTTGTATATATACAGAGATATACAGTACATGCACTTACCAACTATTGCAACATCACAGGTCCCATGATGATACTTTTCCTTCAAAAACTGGATTACTTCCAAAGCCTTCGCCCTTTCCTGGATATTGGAATTTGCTCCATTGAACTGAAAGACCTTATTCTGAGTATCCAGGATGAACACATCATCATGATTCAGTGAAGAACGCGCGAAAGGAACCTACAGAATTAAAATGCAAGGTGAATTCACTTTAACCTCCAGCAGAATTACATCGAAGAAACTTAATTGACCTCTAAACTCGCATGTAAACAGAACAGGATACCTGCTTCATTCTAACAACTCGTTTTCCTTTGCAGACATACAATCGAGTTTCAAATTCTTCTTCCTCAACCTTTGTAAATCCAGATGCAATACCCCCCTCCAATGGTATAATGCAAGGTTTGAAGTATGACAAAAATTTGTCAGATTCGTGGCCTTGAATTTCTCTATGTTGCACTGCACGTCCTCCAAGAACTGCGTCTAGTTCAACAGTTTTAATAGCTGCTGTCCCAGCTTCATCCTACAGTAAGAAGTCATGACATAAAGCAACCATATTTTCAAGTTAGCTCTTGCTCCTATATATAATATACCAAAAAGTTGAGGCATGTTCAAGCTTTATGCATGTGTGTCACACACACACAGAAACGCACCTGACTTGTATCTTTCCCAATCCAGAAGTGTATGTCATAGAGATAAGCACCTCCTCTGTTTTGTGTTGTCTACAAAATGACAGAGAACCGAGTGAAAACATATGAATGAAAAAAGCCTCCTTGAAGGAAATCTAAAGTTTGATCTGTCCTTTACCCATTCCTCATCTTCCCCTTCCCCCCTCCTTACCCTCCTTCCCCTTTCTTAAGGTGGAACATGCAAAAAATGGCAACGGATAAAAGTTTTGGTAGAGAGCAATAATGTGCACCATACTTTTATTAAACCTTTTAAACCCCAGACCAGAAGCTGATATCATAATTTTCACTCGAGTAAATTGGGAGAGAAACAAAAATGCTATTCAATCATGATATCAACTTATCATTCACCCCAAGACAAATTGAACTTGTGCATTTCCCAAAATAAAAATGTTACACTGACAAATTTAGTTTTTATTTCAGCATTCTTGCAAGGAAAAATAAAACATAAATAGTGGCATTGAAAATAATTAAAGAGTGAAAATTTGAAGACAAACCTGCAAGACTATATAAGAATCCCCTGTATAGAATTTTCCATGTTCAGATTTCGGCAAAGGAACTGGCTGGAAATTCTCAATTCGCCAAATTTCAGTCCCTCTATTATATGTTAAGTTTGAGAACCTCAAATAACATGTTTAAGATATTTAAAATTACATATGCCCAAAACTGACACCAAGTACAACCTACTTTAACTTTTTGTCTATAAGAACAAAACCTTGACTTAACTATATGGGATCAGCAACATGAAACTTGGCCTCAATTCCATTATATCCTAGGTCATATTTCATTTTAAGCCACTTTCACTTTTCTGTTGTGGAAGTAAAATAGTAAGATGTTTGTTCGTCTCATTTGTTATAGTGTTTAGAAAGAACTGTCTCCCAGACTCATTTTTATTGAGTCACCATCTACGATAAAAGGATACACTCTTTGACCTGCTCCCTGAAACGCCGGATCCAAAGCTTTTGCAGAGCTAGACATTGCCTGAAATCCTTTGTAAGAATGTTACTTTCAAGAAAGGCAGAATTTCTTTGAATTGCGTATCTAGAAATTCCAAAAGAATTCATTGCAGGAACAAAAAACAAAAAACAATGAGAAAAAAATGAACAAAAGGTGCAAGGTCTGAGACTTAGGAGCTTCCAAAATTAAACTACTAAGTTTCCTGATTTTTCAAGAATAGTATAAAGATCAGCACTGATGCTCAAATCAAAAGTTCGATAGAGATGCTTCAATAATTCTTATCAATAGTAAAAATATCAGCATTGAGACTCAAAGCAGAACTTCAATGGAGAAGCACCAATAAATCTCAGCTCTATGAGAATATCATATGTTTAAATTGCCAGCACTTACCACATCTCACCTCACTATATATCTCATAAAGCTAAACTAACGACTTGTTTTCATATACAAAGAACTTCACATCAGACTGGCACAAGTGCTTGCTAGAAGAGAGAATGAAGGTCAAGTGCTGCACTGTATTTGGAATTTGGTTGTCTAACTTGATCGGTATGTCTCAGTCCTTTTGTATCAAGGTCTAGCTTATGTTGTGCCCATTGAACCTTGGATCTGATTTTCAAGATACTTCACTTGAGATATTCAGCTATGAAAGAGGAAATCAAGTTGGACTTTGAAACATTTTATAGCCTCCCCTTCCCTGACTGATTTCTCAAGTGAGATATTTCCAAAGACATTTCCCGATAACATTAGTTTCATGGACTCCCCTTCCTTGGACTATTTCTCAATTAAAATTTTAAAAGGCATTTCCCAATCGCATTAGTATCACAGGTTTCTCTTCTAGAGGCATTTTCCAATCACATTAGGTCGTATCTGACTCTCATAAGTGAATCATTGCTTACATCTCTTGCTTCTCATATGGCTGGAATTTGGTCCACATATGCTTTCAAAATACTTAGAACACCTCTGCTCAGTTTACGCAAGACCTTCCTCTTCAAAATTTGTCCCTAGTAACTTCTTTTAATGGATAACCTTCCATTCAAAGTGATACAAATACCTAAATTCCACCCTGTTTGCTGCCTTGACCATATTTCTCGAAATATGTCCCCTTTTTTCACCATTCTTCTTTTCATAGTACTTCAGCCACAGATCATGCTGTCCTAAGATTTCCCCATCTTTCAATCTACTCGTTGGTGCTACAAGTGGGGCCCCAAATTAACCTCCTTGAAATTACTATTTATTAATTACTATATAGACGTTACTATCTTTGCATGATAATGAAACTAGTTTTGACATGTAAGTGCTGTCCTTCCTATGAAGTTCACACTTAGATGATCACAAATTAATTTTATATATTCCTGTGGGAAAAGTTTCTAGATGACAAGTTTCGCCTCAAAGTTGGTCCTATCGTTCTAATATAAGTTTATGTTCATATATATATCATATTGGATTACAATATATTTTCTATCTGTTTTGCCCATGCAACTTGGAGCACAAACCTATTCAAACCATTGGCTTCAAATACACACAAATACTGAAGAATCATTGGTAAATTCTCAGCCAACAACGGTCATCTAATCCAACTCAGCTCCGCTTCTTGTTTATCTAAATAACAAAAATTTGATATTTTGAAATAGGGTGTATATAATCCATCCATGAAACATCTGCTAGTTGTATAGCTGCCATATAAATAAGTTTGAAACCTTGTATCTACTTACTGAAACCACTAATGAGAAGAATCCTCAATCTTGTCTGGATCATACCATTCCTGAATCCGACTCAACAAGAACACACAGAAAATAGCTTCCCAGATTTGAAAGTCCTTCCAGTATTCCAACAAGTGAAAAAGTACCCAAGAACTAAAATGTAACTTGTGATCAACATGACAACAGTAATGGCAATAGGACTGCCAACTAAATTAGTATCAAATCTATATTAACATTTTTTGGCAGATATACTACATGAGACTGATCAGGAACGTGCCTGATTACACAATGGCAAAATGGAGTGAGATTAAAGTAAAGCTTTACCAGATGAAAGAATCCAGATAATGTTTCATCAAAAGGCATTGACAATAGTTTACATACTGAGCTAATCATTAAGATCTTCTAGTCAATCACTTACTCAATCATCTCAATTCAACCGATTCAAGCTCTTGACGAATTCAAATCAAGAAAAATTCATGAAAAGATAAGGCGAGATCAAACAATACCAACAAGCACAGATGATCGAACAAGTAACAAGCAATCAAGAGGGAGAAAAACCAACATGGTCCATCAGATCAAATGTTCACAACACATACATAAATAAACGAAAACAATCAGAACCCATTAAATTTAATACAAAACCGTAAAGACCCAGATAACAAAAAATGAAAATTGCAAACAAAATAAGCATGAGAGCAGAACCGGAAGAGTTGTGAAAAACATAGAGATCTAGATAACATACAGCAAAATTGGTATTGATGGAGCTGAAAAGAGTATGAAAACAGAGGAAGTGATCGATCAGAGAGAGAATTGACGTACCTGAAATGGATCTCTGTGTGTAATTTAATGATGGCAGGTGGTGGGGTGAGAGAGAGAGGGAGAGAGAGATGGGAAATGGGTATGGGAAGGACGAGCTACCAGAGCTGGCAATAAAGAGAGAGTTGGAAAGAAAAGTGAATTATTGCTGCGTGTGTGCGCTTCTCTCTCTAACTTTTCCTTTTGAGATTTGTAATTCACAGAGAGAGAGAGAGAGAGAGAGAGAGAGAGAGAAAGAGACAGCTGAGTTTCAGACAGAAAGAAAGAAGGTATGGAAATAATATGAATAATGAATTATGAAGAAGATGATGATGACGACGATGAAGACCAACCGAACGAAACGAAACGAAACCGAAACGGAATGACAGAGAAATAGAGGGTGAGATTGGTTTTTTAGCAGACAGAAAAAGTCGTTATTTAAGGCAAAGATCCGGTGAGGGTGGCACCGGCCATGTTGGCTTTCCTCTTTTGCTTATTTGGAATTTCTTTTTTTTATTTTAATTATTAATTTTGTCTAAATATAATAATCTTTTTTGTACAATACAAAGAATATAATAATTCGGATTGTTAGCATTACACTTTTTCCCCTTCTTTATCTTTTTTATGTGGAAATTTTGTCTACTTTTTGCATGTTGAAGTGGGGAATTCTATGGTATTTACTGTTTTCTTTGAACCATAAGAAAAAATTGAAAGGAGCAAAGGTTTTTAGCTCAATTGATTATCTCAGCATTCGAGCTCCTAAGTTCGAATCATCCTCCAATATCATTTATGTCCAAAAAAAATATTGTGCCAGAAAAAAGAAAATCAAGCATATATAACATTGATTTTTATTTTTCTATCAGTAGAATTTTTTTTTTCTTCTTATGGAATGTAGGAATTTTTCATCTATGTGGGTCACATTTAATTCAACCACTTTACCCGCGTAAGCTCAATAAAATTCATATTTAAATAAAAAAAACATTGGTACAATATTTTGCTTAGAAGCTAGATTTTTTTAAACTAACTTTCTTTTGTACTCATTCTTTTACTTCACAGACACGATGTTTTACCAAACATGACAGTGATAACATCTCTGACCAAAAATAAAAAAATAAAAAAAACAAAATCTTCGAGCAGACTTCACAATTTTTTCTTTTCTTTTCTCTACTTAACCTGTCAAATGATTATTCTGAGTTTGCAATCTTAGTTGGGATGTCTATGTCAAAGTTTGTTCGATCATGTGTGATCGTCAATGGAGGCGCACCAGATTGTCTTAATTTTGATGTTAGACCGCTCCGTTATTGTAATGACCCTTTGTGGCTAGTTTGTATTGACCCTTTGTGGCTAGTGGTTTTTTTGGCTGAATTATGAATGAAATCCTAGAATTTCTCAACAACAAAAACTACCAAATGATAAGAACATATATAGCTATACTTTTCCATATTGTAATTTATGAATTGAAATTGCTCAATTAATTTGTAAATTGATTAGATAGATAAACTAGAAGGGCGTAGAGGGTTAATGGCAATTAGTTCAACAGTTTGCAAATGAATTCCAAGGTGTGCATCATGTCGTACCAATTAATAATGCAACAAAAACTAAAACAAAGTTGTTTTTTTAATGATGTTGTTGAAGTGTTTGTTAAAATGTTTGTATGAGGTGTGTGTAATAAGGGTTGTTTGTTCATATGGGAGCCAAATCAAAACACATGATGATCCAAGATCTCATCAACCGACTTTACTGTCTTAGGTAATTCTCTTTGATACATCAACAACTATTGTCAGTTCAGTTGTGAACTTATGATTTCAAATGGATGCTACTAAACTGGTGGTAGGCAGGTGTCTTGAACAGTATTGAAAATTGCTCATCTGTTTTCTAAAGTACTTACTGTTACACACAAAAAGGGCCAAACAAAAATTTGTTACTATTTTACTCAACCTAGCCACCACCAAATGCAATGCTCTTAAATCATAAAATTCCATTTTTGAAAATGCAATATGAAAAATACTTCTCTCTTTTATCGTGGAAGAACTCCAACTTTTTTGTCGATGATTGCTTCAAATGTGTGCAAAAAAATTGTTTTTCGTGTTTTTAATGAATTATTTTTGTGTATGCGTGAAACTTTGATTTGTAGGAAGGATAATTGTCTCTTTTAGGAAATGAGGCAAGTAATGTCCTTGCAAGGTAAGATGTTCGACCATTTCCAATAGGCCATTTGCCAAACTACGGGTATTATAATTTTCTCCTTGCTGTGGTAAAATGTTTATCGGATTTGATTGTCTCGTATTTATTGGGCCATTAACCATTTAATGGGCGGAGATATCATGTGTGATTTGATTTCCACTTACTCACTACGAGCGTTCGAAATGAGGATAATCTTATGCAACTCATCCCCTGATTATCACTATTAGACCTTGCAAGCCCACATGCCCAACATGCGGTGTCGTATGCTCCTAATCAATGCGTGATTAGGAGCGTGTTTGTTTCCTATGTATTGTCAAGGATAATACGCTATGATGATATACGTACGTGTTATATATATTCTTAATAAGTGTAAATCTATGCTCCTACATATCCAATTAAATATAAACATATTTGTTAATTTGACTATTATAAGAAGAACAAAATAAAATAACAAAACATTTTTTTATCGGTGAACAAAACAAAAAAGAAATTTTGATACACGACGTGTTATGTTAATCTCCATATAATTACTTAAGTGGAATTTTAGAGAAATTGTAACTGCATATTACTTATTATACAATATTTATTCAATATGATTAGGTCAATACTCAATGGCTATTGATATATTGGTATATCTTATTAATTATGTTCAACATGAATTTTGGTAGGACAGAATGTAATATAAAGACTAAACCTTGATCATAATCTTCCAAAATATTCCCCACAAAGCGTTTCATTTCATCTGAAGACGTTAATCGACAAGACTTTGAACTAATCTTAAAAGTGAAGCTAGGTGCTACAAAATTCGTCCCAAAAGCTAGTTTATGTATTAGGCTTGGTTTATGTAATTGGACAGCTCGCCCTTTTTTCAACAATTTGGCTTTGAGAGAGAGAGAGAGAGAGAGAGTGGGGTTGTTTAATGGTGGGGCACTAGGGCCTTGAGAATGTCCAAAGAAAAAAGAACTCCAATTCCAATCAATCCACATTTTCTTTGGATAGGCTAGGATAGGCATGAGAAATAAATTTTAGGCTTATTTTGAAATACCTATGTGGTTTTCAAATCATCTAAGTTGCTTTATGAAGTTTTAAATGACTCAATCTCCTCTTAAACTTTCATTTTGTAACAAAGATTGCCCTATTTCGTTAATTTTCAGATAAAAATCGTTAAATCCGTTGACGTGGCATAGGTATTTTAGTAATTTTAACTATTAAATATTAAAAATGCTTGAAATTATTCAAAATCAAATATGTAAAATAATTAAATAACGTAAAAATTAAAAAACAAATAAAAATTAACACAAAACCAAAGTAATGCATCATCTTCTTCGGTTCCATCGCACCACCACCCCACTGTACATCCCAACAACATCAGTAACTGCCCAAAACCACCAAACTGATCTTACCTAGTCAAGCCCCCCAAATATTGTAGGTGCCAAACATAGTAGGTGCCAAACATTAATTGACTACATAATCAACACATTAATTGACTACATAATTAACACATTAATTGACTACATAATTAACATACCCCTGCCCTGCGACATCCAGTCGCCCCACTCTCCATCGAAACCCCAACTCAGCCACAGCTCCCCTACGAGATCCATTCAACCAATCTAACAAATATAAAAATGAACATCGATATGAAGAAAGTGGATCTGAAAAAGATTTTGGCCGGCTTTTCCAATTGGGTTTGTGGGGGGCGGTGGGAAGGTGGAGCAGCTTGGTTGGTAGGTTGGAATGTGGAGTGGCGGCTATGGTTCTGGAGTGGTGAAAGAGAGAGATGAGCAAGGATGGATCTAAAAAAGATCTTGTCTTCTGCTTCCCTTTGCAGCTATTGGGTTGTCTTCCCTTTTCAATTTTTCATTTTCTTCTTCTTTTCTAAATTTAATGGGTGATTAGTGTGAAGTTTAGGAAGATACCTGCGGTGTGACAAAGACACTTCATTTTTAGAACAAATTCTGAGAAGCAAGTGTTCTAAGAGTTGTTTGCCATTAAGAAACGTGGGCAAAGGGGTGGGACATTGGAGCAATGGAATGGGGAGGGGGAAGGTGGTTGCACGATTGGGAGGGCCTGCTGGGTTTTTAAGTTTTTTTTTAAAAAGTTAATTTATTTTTAAACATTTAAAATAATTTCTCCAAGGAAAAAATATTTATTTCTAAACTACCTATGCCACATCAACGGAGTTAACGATTTTCATATCAAAACTAACAAAATGGGGCAATAGTCACAGAATGGAAGTTCATAGGGGAGATTGAGTCATTTAAAATGTCAAGGGGCAAACTGAGACAATTTTGATCCAACATGGGGTATTTCAACAAATAAACCTAAATTTTATATATCTTAGTTTTTTGGGCTAACATCAAAAGACTCCCTGAAGGTTTGGGGTCATTCTCAATATCAAGGAGTCTTTTGACGATAGCCCTAGTTTTTTATTTTATGTGATTTATATATCTTAGTATAACTGCACTTTGAATCCAAAGACGTATAACTTAGTGGTACTTCTCACTCTAATGTTAGAAGAGATCTCAAGCCTACTTCGTCCCTCTCTATTAATATAAATAAAAGAGTTAAATAAAAAGAAAGTCAACACTATCAAAAATTCCATAAATATGTATGTAATACTGAACAGAAATTCATTTGATTGCCCTGAATTGGAGGGAACCATAAAATGAAAGGGCACTGATACAATGACAAAGATGTCACAATAATAATCCAAGAAAAATGAAAGGCCAGCCTCATACAATACAAGGCAATTGAGCCAAAATGATAACCCAGTAACATATAGGTCACTATCACATGATGTGAAAGAACTATGGTATTCTAAGCTCTCTTTTTATCTAACCTTTTTGGCCAGCAATATTTTTTTTTGGGTTGGGTCAATAGGCCAAACTGAACAAATTAAATATTAATTTCCTTTATATCTAGTCATCTCTCAAGCCAAATTGACCAAATACAGCTATTTATATACGTACGGGCCACTGTTGTTAGGTAAGGTGTTACATCTATATGAAATTGATTTTAGGTCATTCGAAGATTATCTATTTATTTATAATTAAAAAAAATATACAAATCAGAAATTGTTTGGTTGTGTAAAACGTGCAAACAAACAAAAATGTAGTTCATTAAATAAAACTAAAAAAGGAAATGTGGATAATTAAATGGATAAACAATTTTGTTTTAACTTTTTTTTTTTTTTGTTCATGATAGTCAATGAAAGAGAACTTAAACTTGAACTGTTCCGATCGTTGTATGAACAT